GAGCTTACACTTCAAATTATTTATTTTGTGGGGGCTAAGCCCCCGTAATCCCCTTCCGATCTCCACCTATGCTATAATAAGAAAAAATTAAGTACTTTTGTTATTTTATAACAATAGATGAAATGTTTAAATTCACGTTTTATTCAAGAAACTATAAATATAATTTCTGCAGTTGGAATCGAATAAATCTTAAAGGAACTAACAATTTATATTTAATATCAAAAGTATTGATGAATTAAAAATTGAAATCAGACTATTTAAAAATATTCCAAAGACAGAATTGCCTAGAGGTACATCAACAATAGCAATTACTCAATAGTTCCTAAGTAAATCTGTTGGAGTAAATATTTTTATTAGTTTTTGTAAAATAATAGAATTATTTAGCAAATTATCTAAACGAATTTCTTAGATAATTATGAAAGGATTCAAAGGCAAAATACAAGAAAAATACTGGCGGAGTTTACATATACCCATTATAGGTAAGAAAAAAAACTGGCGAAGTTTACATTAGAATTTTTATTACCTTTTTATCTTAACCGATATTCTGGCGGAGTTTACTATCGCCCTTATTATACTATATAATAGGGGTGACCAACTTATGAATCGCGTTTAGTCGCATGCGTTTCGTGTCTTATTAACAAAATCAAAATTCATTTATTATTATTTATTTATTGTTATTATGAACTTTTTTTTTGTATACAATATTAAAAAAATATTTTATTGTATAAATACAGATAAATAAATAAAAAATAAGATAATTATCATTTAGATCAAATTATAAAAATTATAAAATGTATTTATAAACATTTTGGCTCTTTATATCATTGTATTTATCTATGTGGATCGTCAACATATTCCTGTTGGTCACCTCTGCTGTTATTTTAATTGAAAAACTTGAAATTAGAGTCAGGGGTGGATTTAGGAGGGAACGGTTCAGGATGCTATCTAATACACAGTTAATATTTGTTGACATAGTTAGCCTCTTGAAGACTTCTTATATTTTTCAAGTGTACCGACTATAAGTTAAAGCTAATACTAGACTGGGTCAGTTCCCAATTGATACCCCCCTCCCCCAAAATGGCGTAAGTGGTTTTATTGTATACTACTGTTAAACATTTCTATACCGGACCCCATATAAGACGGAATCCTCCATATAATGAAATATATGCTAATGTTTTTTCAATAATAATCATGAATAATTTAAAAATACAAATTGTATGATCATATTGTGATTATTGTACTCGTAATATGTTATACATTTATAATCCAGTTTCAGACCTAATATGTTATCTTTTGAAATATCCAGGCCCAAAGTTTTCTAAATGTGAAACCACCCCTGATTAGATTGTTATAATTTCATTTCATTTTAGTTATAGAACAATTCACAAATGTACATAATTATAAGCCAGAAGCGATTTCGGAGAGCTTGAAATATTAAGTACCTTAATTGTGTTTTTGGTAATACCACTATAATTTATTTAAATGTATTATTACTCATAAAATCACCCAACCCATTAAAAATTCTCGGGCATGCCACTGAGTATGATAATCAAATAAATTAATTTACGACTTAAATCATTTTATACAGAATATACTAGGGTAGGAAACTGAAATGATAGATTTTGGTTTCGGTTTTGATTTTGATTTTCGGTTTTAAATTTTATCGTTTTTTATTTCAGTTTTAAATAACTACCGGTTTGCAGATTTTTTGTTTTTAATTTCGGTTACATAATTTCTATTTGAGTTTTAAATACTGATTTTAACGATTGTCGGTTTCAATTTTAGTTTTTTAAAACGGTTTTCATAATTTCTGATTTAAATTTTGATTTTAAAAGTAGGTTTTTATTATTTCTGTTTAAATTTTGGTTTTAAAAACAGATATTTATTTTTACGTACCAAGTATATTTATATCCAGTGCAACAGTCGTTAGACACGCTAAGTGAAAAAAAAAGTGCTGCTACGATAATGAATATTATCTCGAACAAACACGACTCATTTTTTTTTTTTTTTTTTTGACACGCATATCTATAAATCTAGTGAATCATGGGCATAACATGGGCAATTCTTATGAAGGGGTAAGCTTTATTTTATGTTGTTATACCAGATATACTTAATCTGCATTGTGATGTAATGTGATAAAAAATGCCAATGAATAAATACATTTTGATTAATCTATTAATTTTTTTTTATAGTTAATAGTTTAAACAAATTATACTTTTATTCATAAAATAATTCTTATAAATCTAAAATGCCTTTTCTATCATATTTTTCTAATTAAACAAAATACCAAAGGGAGCATTGGCCCTTTAAATATTAAGTTTCCCCCTCTCGTCCTCTCCCCGTTTATGCCTATGTAGTGAATTAGTTGACCTCTAGTTTATTTCAAAACATTACAAATGTCACTGAAAATTTTTTATAATTTTACATAAATCAGTAAAAGTATTCAATTAATTTTTAGGCTATGTAATACATTTTCGAATAATTTTATTTTAGAAGTAATTGAATAGTATTTTACTATTGAATACAATACTAGTTTATTGATTCCTTTTTTTTTTTTTATTCATTAGATCTTAAAATTGTTTCTATTTGTAACGTCAATTTCCGTTTATTTATAGCTAAATTCTTCTTCTTTTTCTTTTTCTTCTCTTTTACTTTTCTCCCAACTATTTGAGATAAGCCACCCTTGTCCTAAATATCTATTCATCTCGATTTTCTGCATCCTTTATGCACACACCAACGGCCCTCATATCATTCTCAATCGTATCCAACCATCTCATTTTTGGTCTTCTTTTTTCTCTTTTCTCTTCAACGTTCATTTTCATAACAATTCTTACTACATTTGTTCCCACTCACCTCATAACATGTTCAAATCATCTCAGTCTACTTTATTTATTTTCTTATTTATAGTTATATTACATACTTTTTTTTTTTCCAGAAAACGGTTTATCAATTGACGACGATAGATTTATGCGATGTACGATAGACACAATAGATAATATCATTTTATGGTAGTTGGAACCAATACTATAATTTATAAACTATCACACTGTCTCAAACATACGAGTATTTTATTTTCGTAATTTTATTAAATAAAAATTATAAGTATTATTTACTAAAAAAATCTTTATGAATGCCGTTTGTTGTCGATGACAACTTATGCTAATATGAAATATACCTTCGTAAAATACATAACATAATATAATATCGATTCTCACTTTTTAATTATGTTGTTTATAATTTCAGATTTTTGATAACTAACAATTTATTATTCATACTTCTATAGCAGTTTATAAACGCAAAATGTTTCTGAAAGACGAACGGCTTGCAACCGAGGACGTCGTGGTCTAACATTTAAACGGCAACGGAATGAGCTTAATTGGGGATGATTTTAACGAATGCACGACAAATAAAAATTACTTAATAGAAAACCGTTAATATTGTGAATACATTTTAGAAATTTTAGATCCACGTAATAATATTCTATAATACATGGTTGTTTTAATCAACACGGTTTTTATGACTTAGCATAAGCTCTTGTGTAATGATTATATTAATAAATAAATGGAAACCCAACAATAAGAAACCATAAAGCACGGCCCAAATAAAGATAGACGGATAGAATACAAAAGAAATGTAAATCACAAATCGCACACATTTGTATGCGTGAAAACGCCTCTGACCTGTGAAAAATAACAACGATAGCAGCAACAACAATACTTAAACTAACAGGTAGGTACAGTAACCCTATCACACCAGTTTCTCAACCACTGTGTCGCGAGGTAAGTTGATTGACACAAAACGAAAATTGATACAGCGAAGCATATTAAGTTATGCTATTTAAAACTTACGAATTTGAATACTCGTATTTAATCGATTCCAGTACAAATTAAATATCAATATGCAAGTATATTATTAATTTATTTTTTTTAACACCGCTCTGTTTCTTATAACGATCGATGGTGTTTAACAATATATTTGAAAAGTGCGAATAAATATTAATGATAATATTTTGATAAACGTATAAACGTTTGGGTTGCCCCGGTCCAAGTCTAATACTTTACACTAAGTCACACGGTCTCTGACGTGTGAGACATCTTGGTGCCCTGACAGTTATCGAGTAATCTAATGGCTGCCGGATCGGTGCGTCGATCCAGATTTATCTGGTGTTTTCGATTTTTATACACAACTATACGGCGAAATGTTTTTTTGCATTTTCATAGGTAACTTTTCAATCCCCAAAGCTTGGAACGTTTCAATCGGGATGCACGTCGCGTTGACGGGAAACGGTTCGTTTCGGTTTTTGTCCGTTTTGTTCGCCGGCGTCCGTTGTTCCGTTGCGTTGCCCTTCAGGTCATATATCCACCCCGCTTCGGCGCCGCCCGCTAAATCTCGATACGACCGCCTCGTGTTCCGAACGTGTACGCGAAACACGGCGGCGGGCGAACGTATCCATACGCCGTGTTGCTATAAACAATAAAACGCGACTGGGTTTTTACCGCCGACGAACTGGCGGGGGGGGGGGGTGGTGGTGCGACGGGTTAGTGGGTCGTTGCCGGTGCGCAGTCGGTGACCGCGCGCGTACACTGTTGCGCGAACCACTTGTTTGCGCTGCCGCCGCGATCGGGATGTACAACATAATTGCGCGCGCGTCGTGGCCGCCGCCGTGGAGAGCAAAAAAAAAAAATCCTTCGGAAACGCGTCGCACGCGCAACGTTGTGAACTCCGTACGCCGCGCGAACACGGGACCGTCGAAACCTGTGTGCGATTTCAACCACCACCCCACCCACACCCACACCACAAGCGCGATCCGACCGCTTTTCTCGCGATTTTTATTCTCGTCCGCCCTAGCGGTTTCACCCGTGCCGGCTCCGTTGGCGTGCGTCGCGCGACCGTGCGCCGCCGCGGCAGTGCGCGCAATACGTGAGGGGCGAACGTCGTCGTCGTCGCCCGTCGCCGCCAACACCACCACCGGCGCCGCGACACTCGCTCGCTCACCCGTACGGCGACCACTCGCTCGCTTCCGTCCGGCGCGCGAACACGCCGTGAACAGTGCGAACAGTCGCCCGAAACCACCAGCGTCCGCGTTCGACAGTTCCGACGGCAAGGCACCGCGCGCGCGACCAGTTCCCGTGCGCCGACCGGCCGCGTGATCGAACCGTGTAGCCGTTATTTTTCCGCGTTCGCAACGAACCATTTTACTCGTCCCACGGTACGTATTTTTTTTTTCATGTTCACTGCGTAGACGAATTATAGACGAAAAGTCATCGAGAATAATAACAAAAAAAAAAAAATATAAATAAAAAAAATAACATCCCTTCGCCAACGTCCCCCCGCAACGTGTGTGTTCAAACGAAAAACCCGAGTGCAGGCGAGAATGCAGGGGACTCAATTACCCCTCCCTCCCGAATTACGAGAAAAAATACTACCCTAAAAATTGAACGGTTCATTTCAAAGTTTCCCGCGAGACTTGCAAATGAAATATACGAATCTGTGTGTTACGTAACGAGTAATAAAGCGTGCAATTCATCAACATTTCAAAACATTTTACATTTTTTTTAACCTTTTTCCTGGAATTTTTTTTTTTTTTTTTGCGTTCGCCCCTGCCTGACCGTAATATTTATCACACGCGTTTATTATCATCGTTCACCACCACCAGGTTAGGTAGGTTAGGAAAGACCACGAGTGGATCGCACCGAGAACGCCTAATGTACTTGTTGTTCGCGCATTTAGATGTTATTTACCTGTTTTATAAATCCAATACCGTTCCAGCGGTGCGTTTGTTATTAGAAACAGCCGTCTCGTATAAAATGTTTTATCGAAATCGTTCTTGATGTTTAAGTTACATGATATCTCGAGTATGACAAAGTATATAGCTTATTCATAAAGATATATTCGTTAAGACTGTTATTATTGAATTTGATTATTTATAATATTTGATAATTTGATTTTTTCACGACGACGTAAAATAAAAATCCGCAAAAGTCCAGTGTCATGTCGGTTTTCTTCCATGATGTAAAATACCAAAGTGCTTACCTTTTATTTTCTGGTTATTATTTATTATTGTATCGATAGCTCATGATTCTTTTCTTACAAATGTGGGTAAACAAAGTTACAGCAATTTCATTAAAATCATTTCATCTACTCATGTATCGTTTGATGAAATTCAAACCATATGAATGCGCTTTTATAGACTAGCTATGTAATTATGTCATATGATTTTCAGAAAATTTTATCTCGTTAATTGTGTTTAAATTATTGAATAAATTAGATTTTATAATAATTTAAGCAATGTTGAAATAATCATGTAGGTAATTACATAATATTAATATATTCAGCAAGATAAACAAAAAAAGATATGGATATTTCTTTTCGATGCAGTAGTTAACATTTTATAATACAACTGTATTAAATTGGCACTAAACAATAATTTTATGAACGATTTTTGTCCTGGAATTTTACTAACAAGTTAATACCCTCTTTGTATTCAATATTAAGCCACTTGGAACAAAATAACTCTGTTAATTGTAGGTGTTTATTGTCGTTTCTACAGAGTAATGTTTAGTAGGTACTCTGAATTAAATCACCTTATATATAAAAATATGTTCATTAACTGAATCGAATATAATACATAACATATTTAAGATATACATTAAATTTATCTTAGTATTTGTTTTGAATAATAAAAACATATGTAGTGTTATGCAATTAATAGTGCTTCATTTTTATATTCTACACACGAATTAACTTTATCGTCCATTGGACCATCTGAACCGAAAATAAACTTCAACAGCAGCCGCGTCAAAAATAATAATAATTTTTCGAATCATCAAATCTTAATACATGGGATCAAAATAAATACACATTTTAAAAATTACGCTGTACAGTATAATATTAATTAAAATAATCGGTTTTATAGTAAAAGCATGTTTTTATATTTTAGGTTAGAGAAGTAAATTAATGTGTCAAATATATATAATATACATATATCATATTTACATATATTTTATATGTATATATATACTTCTTGTATGTAAAAGTTTAATTATTATAATTTAATAATACTATTGGTAGTTATCTAGTTTATACCGGTTAGCAATGGTTGATATCATGATACAGTATACTTATTAGTAATAAGGTAAAGATACATAAAAATATATAAAGATATATTAAAATATAATAATAAAAATGTAATATTAAAAACAGATAAAAACTTTTTAAATTGAAAGATTTTACATTATGTGTACATCAAAAAAATTGTTAAATCAATTAGCAGCTTAAAATTGAATAGTTTCTTCATTTTATTAAGTCGAAAACACTTTTTGGTACAATAACTCATACAATTTTATCAGTATCTAATATCAAAATATGGTTTATAATATTTTTAAAATATTATATATAAAATATTTGAAATCGAAAAACACATGCGGCACATTGGTCACATTATAAATATTATGAAACAATTAAGTTTCCTATTGAAATTTTAAATATAAATAAATATTATAATTCTTCGTTTTACACTGTTGAATATTTGTATTTGATAAAAAGAAGTAAGTATATTATTATTACTCATACTAATTCTTTGGAATTGATCGTTTTTGTGTAAAAGAATGTGTAAATTAAATTTGTAAAATTTATTTAATTTTGTAATGAATTATTTTAAAAGCATGTGTTTTTTTATTGAAATGGAAATTATAATAAAATTTCTTCTACAATATTTTAAAATATAAATAAAAACTTGTACTATTTCGATTAAGATTTAATCATACATTGTGATTAAATATTAAAATATATTAAAACATTACTTGTTTTAATTTATTAATGTTTATGAATTATATTATGATTTATTTATAATTACATACTATTCGACTACAAAGTTTTTCTTACATTTAAGCCATATACCTTTACTTACACCGTTATTTGTACCTAGAAACATTTTTTTTGAAGCTATTTTTACCAGAAGCCCGAAACATTTCCCTACTTTATTGAACTAATTATATTTTTAAATATCAGTTATCTTAAGTAATAATATTTATTCCAATATACCACTCATTTTCAACAAAACTTTATAAAATATTTTGAATAGCTTTTACTTACAAAGTCATAACACACGGGTTTAAAAAAAAATATAACCAAGGTTTTTTTATGCTTTTACGAATGTTCAACACGTCATATTATTTTACTTCTTTCAATAAATAAAATGTATACCTAAAGGATAACTCTAGAAGATAACCACTTATCATAACAATGATGAAATATTCGTGCATTAAGTTTTTCGATTTCACTAGAAAACAATAAAAAACAATTTTATAAGTGTAAACTAGAAAAATAAATGAAAACAATTTGTATTGTTTGAATTTTATAATTTATCATACGATACATATACTATTAAAATATAAAGATTTCATTTTAGACTAAATAATTGACTAAATTTTGAGGGTTAAAAAAAAACTCTCAAATTAATTAAAATACTGTTTTTATAAATAATAATTTTATTTAGTTTTAAAATATTCTGTATTTTCATGTAATATTAACGGCTTATCCTTTGGACATCCTGTTTCTAAATCATAAGGTACTTGATTGAAATAAAAATTAAGATAGAGATACATCTCACTTTATTAATACAGTTTTAAGTACAGAAGCTTTAATTAAGAATTAATAAATTATGATGAACTAGTTTGCTATTAAATAATGATTTTTGAATTACATATTATAACTGAATTCATCTGAAAACCAGGGAATGAAGGTTAAATGGAACAATACCAAAATATTAGTTACTTTCCAAACATAAATTTCCAAACATACGATAAAATATGAAATATAAAAATACAATTATGAAGTAAAAAAGACATATTTTGTAACAGTAAAAGGTAACGCAGCACAGCGTAGGGCAGCAAAGTGCTGGAAAAAATGTGTAACCAATGTGAGTGCATATTATTATGCAATTCTGTGTCACCGTTCACCCAGTCATGAGCAAAACGATAGCAGAAAATTTAATAAATTTAACTACTAAATCAGTTTCTGATGATAAATTTTATGAACTTCTTTTATTACATTTGTTAAGTATACGTGAAAAACTGTGGAAAAGTAATTTTATAAAAAAATTTCACATTTTAATTTTATCTTCATTTAGTTGATATGACTAGTATCATATAAGACATTGTAATATCGGACGGCTTCAATTACAGACTCTTCCACATTAAAAATATTAAGAAAGTGAAAATTATGGTAGTAACTGAAAAATATAGTAGTGTAGCACAGTGCGCGCAGTTTATTGTATCCAGGACACTGCGTGATGCAGTTCGACACAGGTACAGTTTTGCTCTGTCCTATCCTGATTCCTGATATGCGATAGTACGTTCTAAATAATAAATTAAAAAAACTATGTTATGCTACTCTGCGTTGTGCTACGTTACTATGTCTCAATATGCATCCGGTCTTACTCTTGAAATAAGAACAAACATAGAACGTTTTTAGAATATTTAACTACAATTGTATTGTATTTAAAAAATTATTATTGTAAATAACCCCCTGATATTTGAGGAGCAATAATAATTATTGTTTGCATAGTGTATATATTCAATCATACATATAAAAATATTTAAAATTGTAGAATTTCGGTATTTAATTGAACTTACTCATTTTCAAAATAATACTAATAAAAGACAGAACGACAGAAAATGTGTTTATTATGGATATATATAAATAGTGTTATTGATTTTAAATATATCAAGCTATTAAGATAGTAATTGTTACAAATGTCAAAATATTTTGCTAAAGTTGAATAATGTATTTCGATTGTCACTATTTTGAATAGACTCAAACATAATATAATGTAATATATTGCTTAAAATATTATTATTAAAATATCGTTTAAAAAAAAAAAAAAAAATCCTTATAAATAATAAAATAATATTAATAATCGATTGTACTAAAATAGTACAAGTCTTTAAGTTTAAATGTTGATACTTGATTTTTTTACAAATTTATATTCTTTAAAATAAATACAAATTATGATTTCCGGTTTTCTATATTCCAGTATTATCATGGTATGTAAATGTGTGTATAATAGGTTTATATAGTTTATACTATTACGATTTTAAATGTTTATATAGTATGAATAGCAAAGAATGAATTATTGTCACTTCAGTATCTAGATTTAATAATTATTTTAAAACTGAAAACTGTATTAAAAAGTAATTTTAATATTTCTATCTGTAAAAATAATCATATAATTTTAATTAAATTTTTTATATTAAAAAAATAAATAATTTCTCGTTTTGAATCTCCTGTTGTATTTTCTTGGGCTTTCTACATGTTGAAAATTACTCATTGACTGTTTTATGCCTCCCTCGTTTATTATGTCGGAATTTGTTTACCTTTTCTTAAACGAAAAATTACTTTGGCTCTTTCTTCAATTGCGCATTGTTTACGTTTGCTCAGCTTGCTATAATTCAACCACTAATAATGTACACAAAACACAATCCATCGCACGTTGACTATGCTCAAGTACACAAACGTCACTAAAACGGAATATTAACGAAAAAATTATGAAACAATACAATGAATATTATCGGTTGTTATGTTACCTTCGATAAATGTAATATCATTACAGATAAAATAAAAACCGTCATTACATCTGCACAGTCACTCAGTTGTTATTCAGATGTCATAAGAACTGATACAAATTATTATATGTATAAAAAAAAATTGTTGTACCATGGCCTTCAATTTAAGGTCATTAAAACTTTTTCATAATTATAAACGGTTTCTATTGTAATTTATTTCTCAATAATATTACGACATAATGTGACGAATAAAATATTTTGACTTAAAAGTTTAAAATTTAGAATTCTTTATTTTATCAAAAAAAAAAAAAAAAAATATATATATTAATTATAGAATCACCGATGCTTGAATATAGTTAGGTGGTTTGTACTTAAAACTTTCAAAGATTATTATAAATATTGTCTTTAGGTTAACTAATATCTTTTAAGTCTAATTTCTAAAATTAAACTGTAATTGTTTGATCAGTTCTTTATATTCTTTATTCAATAATTTAAAAAATAAAACTTTTATGTTTACATTAAAATATTATGTTTACTCCAGATTTTTTAAACTTAATTTTTAAGCACAATAGAACCATATTGTTTATGGATTTTAATTAATTAATATTAAATGCCCATATAAATCAACAAATATTCCATATTCTAAACATATATAAAATGTTATCTAGATTAGTTATTAAGTCAAAACAACTCGTATTATAATAATATTTTTAGTGTTCCAATCTACATAAATGTGTAGTGCATATATGTATACTAGGTACCAAGCGAAATTAATATCATTGCTTATTTATTGAATGATGCGTAATTTGATATAAATTGGTGATATTGGTTGATATAAATTGGACCTTCATCGTTATGATGTTGTGGATGAGATCAGTAGTAGAGGGAATTAGAGCGAAAAAAAGGCATGGTAGTTGTGTTTGTGTTAAAATCATCAGTATTGAAAGCGGCGTATATATTTGGTGAGATTTTTTTATCATAATGGTTGTGTGAGATGAATGAATTAGAAAAATTTCGTTTGGATTTGATAATAGTTCGTAGCGGTGTCAAAACAGCACACTTTTTTTTTACTTTGGTTTTTCATGATGACGCTATTTATTAATACCGACCGGTAATATTGACGATAGCATTAATAATAATTAACAAGCGTACGAATAACGGAGCGAAAATGGCATAACATGTAAGCGTTTATATTAAACATTACGGCCGAACTGATGGTTGGAAGCTTATGTCGCTAATTTATTGCATAATAACGCTTGTCGTTGTTCGGAATATTAAAATAAAAGTTTTTATTTACCTAATATACTTTTTGCGATTGTTTGTAATCGTTTAAATTTGTCGTTTTCAACACTAATATCAATATATGAGAGATTTGGTTAAAAAAAAGTTTAAATATTGCGTTCATAGTTTTTATAATAATACATTTGTTGTATTATATATATGTATGATATTATTTCATTATACATATACAGCCGTTTATAATTTCATTTTATCCTATAGTCAATTATCGACTGATCTTCAGGCAAAAAATTGTCTTCTAATTGTTATTCATCCGAGGTTAGGTTTTTATGTATACTCAAAATTTTAAAAAATACAACATAAATTTATACAGAAGACCATAATTTTTCTATATCGTTTTTTATATTTTGGAATACTTCATAACTTTATTTTATTGTGGATACGTTGAATTTCAAAAATATCTTATAACATTTTTATAGCAAATAAATTTCAATTGAAATTGTTTTTGAGGGTTTATTCGTATCATCCAATAGGTTTATTTCACTACAAAAAATAGTCATACTGACATTTATGTATTATATTTTTATCTGTTTTAGGTGATTTCAACGATACCTGATCATTTTCCGTGGTTGAAACTAATTAAATACACCAATTTTTATGGTATGTCATGTGGAACTATATTTAATATAAATTATTAGAATAAATAGATTATTCAAAAATATGAAGAGGTTTCTAAATTTTAACAATTTAATTTGATTTATTTATATAATTTTAACCACATGGGCGAAATATATTATGGTATTTTTATAAGCTAAATGTTTATAATTTGCTTTAATTTAATTTTAACTTTTTAACTTTCATCATTTTAGTTTTGCTAATTTATAAATAATATGAGTTCAAACAAAATGAAAAATGGACCAGATTTTTAAAAGTTATTTCCAAAATTTGTTTGATTTTATAAATGGAATAATAGTGTTATCATTTCTAACTAATTTTAACTATCCTTTTTTTTAAACGAAAAAAAGTTAGGTAATAATAATTTTAATGGAATTATAAAATAAAAAAATGAGTGGACTCCTAGGTCAGGCGACACTACTCGTCAGGATGGGATACATGGAAAGGTAAATTATATCGCCATATTAATTTTTAAACTTAAAACATATTTACCGTTGCTCTAAAAAAAACGATTCTGAGTGCAAGAGGTTAGAGATCAACTAAGGTGTCAATTTATATTTCTAAACATGGTGGATATAGAAGTAGAACAAAATGTATTAATAAGGAAAATTGAACTTTTAACTTTTTAAATGTTGCAAAAATAGAATTAACAATTTATGATTATATGAACAACCTTGTATCTAATTTTCATGTATTTTAATGTATGTGGGTTTTCATGATGTTTGTCAATTTTGTCAATATTTATTTTTTATTGATTATTATTAAAATAGTGGATAAGATGAGAGAAAATAGACTAAGATGGTTTGGGTTTTTGGCATGCGATGAAGAGAGAGGAGACAAAACCAGTAAGAGTGTAAAAGTTTAATAAAATATTTTTAATTATTTATTTACATTTAATTATTTCATAATTCCCTTTATAATTTTGATTCTTTTTATACCTTAAAACAAAAAAAAAACTTATTTTTGTAAATATTATACTGTTGGCAGCATCGTTAAAAATGAAACTACAGTTACAATTCAATAAACACTGTTATTCCAAATTCAAGCAATATTTTAATAACGATAAAATATGAATTACGTGGGATTTTCTTTTGAATTAATAAATTGACTCTTTATTGGTAATATTAACTCTTAGACAACTTGTCTATAACACTTTATTACCAAATATTATAAATAATGATAGATATATGATACAAGACTTTTTGCTATAACTTACATTTATTCAATCATTAATTTTAAATTTGAATACTTAACTTTTTTACATAGATATATTTCTCGCATGATTCTTGATTATGCCATAATGCAGTATTCTTTAATATCATGTGTGTAAAATTTTTAATCATAATTTAATTAAATACAATTAACAGTTATACCATATAAATGTATCACATAATATAATACTGTGTTCATACTTTGAAAATAGACGCTTCGGTTAAAATGCAATAATTTTATGTTGCTTGATTTCCTAAATATCGTAACCATTTAGATACATAATTTTATATTATTTTAATAAATAGTTTTACTGTTGTACTTTAAGTTCTTGAAAGAAATTTTATTAATTGAATGCATTGGACAATTTATTAATACTGCAAGTTTTTTAAAAGCTAATTCGTTTTAAATTATAGTTAAAAAAATTAGTGAAGGCTAATTTTTTGATATTTTTTTTGAATTATGGTTAGTTTATAAATATTATAACTGATAACAAAGTTTAAAATAAAATTTAAATTTCTTATTTTTAGTTTATATTTAAAATTATTTTTGTAAATTTTTATAACTGGAAATATTTGTTGCTTTATAGTAGGTACTGATGTTTTGCCTAGGATTGCATGTAAAATGTGAATTGTTATAATTTAATATATTTTTTAAATGTATACACTATATAGGTTTCTAACACACCTCTAATAGTAAAAAATTACCTATTACTTATACATTGTATAATTTATCTCACTTTTACATCATACCCCATTAGTATGCTGCCCAACAAAGTGCATTTATTCAATCGGCTTTTATTGTGTTTCAAGTATAGCATAATTAAGATATATTTACGTTCAGACCTATTAAAATATTAATTGATTTATTATTGTACAGCAGATACCAACCATTTTATGTCCTTGTAACACTCAAATAATAATAGGTATTTGTATGTTCTGATTTCATTTTTACCAAGGGAATGAGAATATTTGTCAGGCAATTTTTACATTATGATCATGGTAATTTTTTGTCGAAAATTTATTTGTTTTTTCTAAGTCCATTTAAAAAAATATTTTCAATCTATATCTATAAAACGCAAACATTGTTTCTATCTTTGTCTGTTATGAATTTCAAAACTACTTAATCAGTTTTGATAAAATTTGGTACAGAGATAGATTAGACTTTGAATAAGAACATAGGCTATGTTTTGTCACAAAAAAAGGAAAGGGAAGCATCAGTACACTTGATTAGGCCCGAACAAGCAGTTGTGGTTTTGTTGTTGCAATATCAACTGAAAAAACGGAAAGGAACCTCACTGTCATTCATCTCAGTGTGCACCTAGAAAATGGTGAATGTGTCTATTTTACTGTAAATAATTTGCAAAAGCGATTACCTTATCATCCACAAACGATACTCACCGTATTTTTGGCTAAATTTAATATACTCGTAAAATTATAATAAATTACAAATTATTATTTTAACTGCCATTTCGGGTTAATTACATTTAAAAAGACATACGAGTACTTTCCAAAGTAAGTAACTTTTAAAATTAACTGAACACTCACAATTTTTTACCGAACAACGCCGGGTAATTCAGTTATAAATAAATAAAAATTTATTTGAAAAAAATGTAAATAACACTCACTCATTTGTCATAGCTACATCACAAAAACAATAAAATGTTTATACTTGAAATTTAATATAGCGGTCTCGGCAATATCCTAGAAATGTAATAAAAAGGGATTAAAAAAAAAAAAAAAAAATTGGCACCGACAAAAACGGTTCCATGATGCAAAACTGGGTAATTCAGTGTACAACTAAAACTGCTATACAAATTAATTTAAAATTTCGTTTTATTTGTTTTATAATCAACAGTTACGCCAAACTAGGCTTTAAATAGTGTAAGTTAATAATCTATTTAGAATTATATCCCTGCGAAGAATTTTCCGTGGGAAGCTGGGTAATCCAGCTAGTAACATAATACCTATAGATACAAAAACTATTAAAAAAAAAAAAAATAAGTAAAAATTGTGTTTATGTTATTTTATTGAAAATATATTTTTTTAAATAATCTCAGAACATAAGAATAGGTTTTGAAAAGAATCAGGTAACCGATGTAAAAATGATGGTGAAAATATTCGCACACTCCCTGTAAAAAAAATACTCAGAACATATAAATACCTACTACTCTGGGTATTTTGAAAGTTTTCACCTACTTCTTCTTCATCTCCCTCGCCTTTCTCCTAACTATTTGGGATCGATCACCTTTGTCCTAAAACTTAACTTTTCTCGAAAAGTTAAAATCTTTCTATATTGAACGAGCTCTGAATGGACAATTCTTTAAACGTCAATAAATAAAACCAACATTGTTTTCACATTAGATTAAACCTGCCTTGCATTCTATAGTCTTAGTGAATTGAAAGTTTTTTTTCTGACCCGATTGATGTTTTTACTTGGCATCAGAATCAAAACACTCACTGTTGTCTCTGATTTTAACCTTGAAAAAGTTTGGTTAGGTTAGCCTTTATATAAAGGACGTTTATGTAATTTGCCATTTTGTTTTTCAACTCTCAGGTTCAAAATAAATATTTAGTAAATATTTAATTTTTAATATAGTGTATAGTACATATTTAAATAGTTTTGGAAATTTTTTGTTTAAATTAGTTAAATTTTGTTATTAGTTATTTAGTTTATTTGTTATTCTTGGTTTTTAAAAATGCATAGTTAATTCCATTAATAATACTCTGAGTGTTACTTTATTTTATTACTTTTTCTGTAGTACTGAATTTGTATCTGCATTTTGATTTACTTGTGTTGAATAGTAAATAATTTCTATAAGTTTTAAGAATCAATTAATCATATTACCAAAATATATTTTCAATACTCTATATTGTATAATCAAATCGGTGCCAAATATTTCGTTGGTATAATGAAACATACATATTATTTCATACATTAAAAAAAGAAAAAAATTTTTTATGTATTTTGAAGTTGTAAATAAAAATTGAATTTTATTGTTTTATTTTTTTACAGCATGAATTTTTATCTATTTTGTTGACTAAGTTTTGAGTATTTGAACTATGTTTACATCTTTCTTGGATAATAAAATAAACCTATTAATAATAAATCATAAGTTGTCGTTTATCAGATGTTGTGTGATTGGTAGCAGCATTGAATACACACATCTACGTATTTATTTGTGCTACCTATGGATTGCCTTATGTCCTTTTGGCCTCTACTCGACTGCCAATGCACATAATCGATTGACCGTCGTACACCACCTACTAGTTTTATTATCTTCCGTGTTTCACCAATCGATATACATACTTGCCTGTGACTTTTAGCTACGACCCATAACAGATTTTATAGAAACGATGCGCAACAGATTTTTCGACTTTTATTCCAGGTATTTTGTCTTAGGTAAATAGGTTTTTATTATTATTAAAATATTTTTTTATTTTTTTTTTTGTCGTGAAAATTATCTTACATTGTTGTAAGATGTGATATGATTCACATTATATATTATATTATTTGATGCAAATTATTGATACCTGAAAAGGTAAAATTACTTCCAATGTTGCGCAATCAAGCAAGATTGTAATAATTCAATTTTCGATAAACACTACATTTTAATAAATAAAAAAAAAAAAAAAATGTATTTCCTTTTTTATATATTTTTTGGAAAAATTGTGGTTTTTGTCAATGTTTTCTAAATGTTTAATAATGATCTTAATTTTTATTGAAAATATTGATATCATTATTTGTATATTATTCGTGATCAAATAATTCGTAAA